CCTTTCTCCTCTTCTGAGGCAGCCACACTTGCCTTCAGGGATGTGACCAGGCCATGTCACTTTTCTCTGGGTAAGAGTTCCTGTTCCCTTTCCTCCCTGCCCATCTGCCTCAGTTCCTGCTCTTCCTGTATATGGATGCACAGATGTCACTTCTCCCCAAAGGCTTTCCTGACCTCTGTCCAAGCCTGGTGGGTGCGGGTGCCCCTCCCATTAATATTGTGGGAGTTTCAGGAGGGCTGGGAGCTTTGGAAAGGCAGAGAGGGTGGATTTTCTTGACTCTTGTCTCTGAAATGTCTTCCACTGTGTTAGTCACTCAGTCACTGTGTCAGTGGCACTGAGTTGCCATGCAATAAATGTGTATTGAAAGGATGAATGAAAAGAATTAAAGGGGTAGTTTTGGGGTACAGCTCAGTGGTTTAGTGCTGGTCTAGCAGGTGCCAAGCCCTGGGTTCCACCCCAGCACTGAAAAACAAAATAATAATAAAAAAAAATTAAAAACAGGCTTGAAGCTTAAAATGGGAAGATTGATGGAATTCATGCAGAGGAATAAGTCCACAGGAGAGCCCAAAAGGGGATGGGAAGAGAAACAAGCTTTTTAAAAAGTGCCTACAACATATCGGGCTTTTTAAGATTCATGAACTCATCTGATCATCACAACAACCTTATGAGGTTATTAGCATTACTATCCCTAATCAATTAGATCAGAGAGCTGAGGTGTCTTTTCCAAGTCACATGACTGCTAAGCAGTGGACCTGGGGTTTTCCTGAGGTGTGTGACTGGAAACCCAGCTTGCTCCTGCTGGTTGAGCAGGGCTTGCTCACAGAGGCAAGTGTTTGGGGAGTCATGTTCTCCAGGCTTATTGGCATGAGGAATTAGAAACCAGCAGTACTGGATACCTAGAAGTGGAAGACGAAGGAGGGAAAAGAGCAGACAGTCAGAGTGCAAGCCCTTGGACTCAAAGCAGAACATTCTGCAATGGTTCTACAGTCTTTTCTGTAGTAAGCCTAACTTTGCCTTTGACCTTGAAGGTCAGGAATGGGAAGTGTGTCAAGGAAGAGGTAGGACAAGGACAAAGTGAGTACACTTGTATCATCCTACAACATCCAACAACAAAAATGCTGAAAATTGAATTACTGAATAAGTGCTTATGTGTATTGTCATGACAGATATTTTTGGAATTAAAAAGTGGAGCATCAAAAAAAAACCATAATGGGCCTGATGGAGTGGCTCAAGTGGCAGAGCACTTGCCTAGCAAGGGTGAGACCCTGAGTTCCAACCCTAGTACTTCCAAAACAAAAACAAACATTAAAAAAAAAAAGACACAAAAACAAAAAAAGGGAAAAAAAAAAAGAAAGAAAAAAATGGAGCATCTATTCCAGTGAAGAATGAGCGGGTAGAGCTGAGGCTGGCTGCACTCAGAGTTGAGTGTTGTGAGGCTCTGGGTTTGATCTCTAGCACTGAACAATCAAACCAACCCAGAAGGGCAGAGCTGATTCCCTAGGATAGTTGGTAAGCCCCTTTTATAATCTTCAGGACAGCTTCGTCACTAGAATTCCTTAAATGTATTAGCAGACACCTTTTTACCAGCCTGATCAACGGTTTGACTTTAACAGTTCCCACTCCCTAAGTCGTTTCCACATTCAACACGAATGGAAAAGAAGCTGCGCTTATAGACAAGTCTTCCTTCCTCCATCCCTTCCTCCCTCCCTCTGTCCCTCCTTGCCTTCCTTCTCTCTCTTTTCTTTTTTTGAGACAGGGTCTTCCTATGTAACCCAGGCTGGCCTCAGACTTTCCATTCTTCTGTCTCAGTCTCCTGAGAGATGGGATTACAAACAAGTCACCATGCCTGGCTGGAGAGCTTCTCTTTCCTTTTCCTGGGAGACTAGGTTCACCCATTTCCAGGGACTGTGTGATGTTAAGTCTGTGCCTGAGTTCCCACCAGCTGTGTGACCTTGAGTAGTCACGTATCTGCCCTGCCAAGTCACCATTTAATATGCAGTCCACCTGAGACATGGAAGGTAGAGCTAGTGAGTCCATAATCCCAGCGTTCACCTCCTTTTGTCCGTGTTCTCCACTGAAAGAAACCTTCCAGTGCAAGAAGAGAAAGGCTGCAGCTCCTAAACAAGGCCTGCTCCTATGGCAGTTGCCCATGTTTTCTAGCCGCTCCATCTGACTCTAAACGTGACCCCTTGGAGGCATGTATCCTCTTCTCCCAGCGCAAGGACTCAGTAGACCTGCTGCTCTTAAGAACATTTCCTAATGATTTGCCTCCTTGGAAAGTGTCGGGCCTATTCTGCCTATATTCTGCCTCTAAAAAAAGCCTTTGTACATTCAAAATGAAGTTAGGATTTCAGGAAATGGGGGGTGGGAGGCCATGGCTCAGGTTCAAAGTTAAGAAGGTAAAATTCTTAATTGCTCCACTTGAGAACAATTCTGTTGACAGCCGGTCACTTTCTTTCCAATTACTTGCTGAGAGACACCACCTGCAGTTAGTGATCTCTAGAAAAAGGGAAGTGCTCTGCTAAACTTGCTGTGAAAAGGAGAAATAAGGCGGCTTTGGCTTTGCATGCAGTGACCGACATCAGGGTCCCCCGAACCTTCACAGGATCACCAAACTCAGTGTCAGCAACGGCGACAGGCTCTGCCACACTTATTCCAGTCCAGACTCCGAGTAGTGGTTGAGTGCTCAACTCTCTACCACTGTTGCTGCAGGTGGAAGGTACTGATGGTTCCCAATTCCACTCCGTGACGCATCTTCCACGGGAATTCCAGTGTCAAAAATATGACAATAATTCGAGAATACTGAATTAGTTAAACCCTTCTGTGCTGTCGGGGTTTACCTACTTTGTTGGAGAAGGGGGAAAACAATATTAAAAAAAACACACACAAATAAGGTCTCAAAATTGCTTTTAAAGAAAGCTTTATTGACTACACACATCCTAAGAATGGGCTGTAAATGGAGAAAGGTCTAAAAAACTTTTCAAATAACGAAGCGGCTAAAGGTAACAACTAAACTACGAGCATGTTTGTTTGAAGACAGAACTCTAAAACTTTTTTTTAAAACATTTATATCGTTTGTTCTTCACCCTAAAACAAAAAAAAAAAGGTTCACATTTCAAGTTATAAACTCACCTCAGTAGTGTACATGAAATGGTTTTGAAACAATAGAAACAGGTAAGACCACGGACAGGAGGCTCACTGATTCTTAACTGGCTACTACCAACATTTGTTTTTAAGGTAGTTTGGTAATCACCATGTTAAGATGTTTTTTTCAAATATTTTATAGGCACATGTAAAATACAGTTAAGAACACTTGGTCAGAGTTTCATCTAATGAACCTCTGTGACAATCCTTTGCTGATGGAGGACTTCTTTCACACAGGTCAAGGGATGAGGATCTGATCCACACTGCTTTGTGTTGACTTTCTCATTCTAATACATTTGCATTTGGATGCAGCTTGCTGGGTAGGTCATCAGAAACATCGCACAGCTACTGTATGTCATATAAGAATGATGGAAAGGAACATCGGCAATGCTTAAATGCCTTAGCAGGCACTCAATAATTTTATAGAATAGTTAAATAAATATTCCTTATATATAAAAACTCATCCCATCAAGATGAGGGGGAAAGAAGGCATTGCAATCTCTTTGTTAAGAAAAAAAAAAAACTACACTGAAAGTGTTTGCTAAGGGCTATTCCTGTTACAAATCCACAAATAAAAATTCAGCCCTCCACAAAACTCCAGTGAATGGAAAGAGTTGATGGATCTCTAAATGACATTAAAAAACACAGTTGTATGTTTGCCACCTTATTGCACACCTCGCTTCCTTGATAGAGCCGTTAAAAAAAAAAAACCCAAGTTGATGTCCTTCAATGTTAACATTTTTCTGTATTTTACATTCACTCTGCTAGACAAAAGCCTTTAAATAGGCACAAAACACTGCAGCAACATATTTACTTCCTAAGAAAACAAACCTTTTTAATAACCTTGAGATAAAATGGTTTCATTTTGCATTAAACTACATTCTATGAACTTCCACAACATACAAGGACTAAAAGTAAGCACTAAGATATTTACAAACCCTCTTTTGAACTCCTTCAAGTCTCTCCTCCCCCTGGATGTGCGTGCTCCACGTTCACCTACCAAGTGCACAGCAATGGAGGACAGCCTGGGTCACCAAACACAATGTTCCCCAGGCCCCAGATGACCACAGACATTCTGCATGAAACATGGTAAGACAACTAGAATCTTAACTTTTCTGCTGACAGGTCTTTACGGGCTTGTCTACACTACCATACATTCTTTGTCTCTAAAAATTCATACTTCAAAAATGAATAAAATAAAAGCAGTAAAAAGGGACAATTAAATAGCGATGCAAAGACGCCTTATGCAAATATATTAAAACCTTGTGCTTACATGCAGTCTGCTATTGAAAACAGCGCACAGAGAAGTAACACCTCCCAAACCCAAACAAAAAAATATACCCCAAAATAGTAGGCCCCAACAAAAACCCAGGAAGAAGTACAAAAGCCTCTAGTTGCTTTCTCTATTGGAGTTGGCCATTTGCCCTGGACGTGCCACGCTTCCAGGCTGGACTGGGGATCGGGGAGGGGAGAAAGTGAGCGGGGCAGGAGGGGACACGTTTAGTAGTGAAGGCACATGGACGACGACCCAAGGTCGTGGTGGCGGATGAGCGCTTTCCAGTGCGGGGCCTGAGTGTCGTGACTGTCCCACGCTGGCGTAGGGACGGGCCGAGTGTGTCACCACACACCGTCCCCCTTCATGCCAGAGGAAATGCAGCAGAGGTTTTCTTCATTTTAAAATTGCACTTTCCAGTTTCCCCTTTAAACCAGCGGTTTCTGTAGTATTTTAAAGCACGGTCGCTTCTATCTTTACATAGCGAATACATTTTTTCAAAATAGTTCCCTGGCTGCTCAAGTGTGCTCTTCCTTTTTTTTTTTTTTTTTTAATATACAGCTGATACACTACTGAAGGTAGTACAAAATAGGACTCTCTGGAGTGCAGGAGTTGAGAAAATAGCCTTCATACTGAAAATACAGCCTTAAAAAACAAGACACGAAACCAAACCTCTAGAGAAACGCCATACAAATGTTTCAAAGATCGCATTCAGGGCACGAACCGCTCGAGTCTCCGCGACACGCACGAGGGCCTGCTGCGTGGAAAACGGTCTTTAAAACACTCGTGAAAACTTCATGTGTCACAAAAAAACGCGCTCGCTCGGGATCGCGGCGGGCGCGCTTCACCTCCGGCTCGCACGTGCGCACGAGGCCGGCGCGCGCGCTGTCTTCGTGAGCAGTGACGTCCCTGTCGCCGCTGCTGTCACCAGTCTCAGTATGTCTGGTAGACGTCGTGGATGGGGACCTGAATAGCGGCGGCAGGGAAGGCCTGAGGTATGTAGCCGGTGGCGTAGCCTCCGTACACGGCGGCGGCTGCGCTCTTCTGTAGTGTGGTGATGGTGGCCGTGGCTGGAGTCGCGAACGGCACGTAACTGGCCCCGTAGATGCTGGCAGTGGGGACTCTCTGAATATTTGGAGCCACTGTGTACACTGGAGTTATCGGGCGGCCCTGAGGAGGAGAGACACAAAGAGGTATCCATCAGCTAGTCGTTCAGCAAGCGTCCTTGGGAGCACAAAGATGGAAAGCAAAGGTTTCCGTTCATACGACAGAGAGGCAGAGGGGGTTGATTAGCAAGTTCCAAGTACTCTAAGGGAGCCATTAAAGAGGGAAGGTGGGGGCCTTGGTGGGAGTGAGAGGTTAGGAAGGGTGAGGGGAGTCTTCTACCCAGCATTCCACTGAGCATTCCCTCGCCCCTGAGCAAGGCAGTCCAGAATCTACCTTCCCACAGTCACTAAAAGTGTTTTTCCTAAAATATGGGGTCACTAAGCTGAGCAAGGGGGCACACCGTGCCTATAACCCTATGCCTATAACCTAGCCCTCCTGAGGCTGAGGCAGGAGGATTTCAAACTGAAAGCCAGCCTGGGCTGCATGGCAGGACCCTGTCTCAATCAATCTAAATCCATACCAGCTGTCTCAACTCGCTGATGAAATGTGATGTCTCGAAAACGGCGGAGGGGGACCGTGTCAGCTCAGTGGAATCAGCTTCTAAAGGGACAGCTGGGACCGTACACAGTTTGCAGTCAATGGGACTGATGGTTCCTGCCATCTCCCACTTAGGCACACTGTACAGAGCAATTGTTACAGATTAGCAGGAGCAAGTGGGAATTTGAGCTGGGTTTTGAAGCATAAGAAGGAGTTTCCACATGAGGAGGAAAGGAGGAAAGTCATGCTAAGTAACACTGCCTCCACCTAGCTGATCACCCACGGGCTCTGTCCCTGTCCCTGTCCCTGACACATGCCACTGTCCACCAGAAAGTGTAACACACCCGGTGTCCAGAGTAAACTGGAGCAGGAGGGCAAGACTGTGAGAGTCAAGGTTTCCCAAAGTGTTTGCATGAAAACACTAGCTCTAGTTCTGAGAGCTGCTTCATGGAAAAGGGGATTTCTGTATTTAAATAAAACATACATTTAACAAAATATTTGGTGTGCCCTGTGTTCTACAGAGAACCCTGAACTAAATGCTGGTACGCTTTATCTGCGCCTTGCTGCATCATCAAAATACACAATTTAAGATATGGAAGATTAGATTTAAAAAGTTAATTTCTGGACTGGGGGGCATGGCTCAAGTGATAGAGCACTTGCCTAAAAAAAAAAAAAAAAAGAATATAAAAGTTAATTCTTCCTGGATTCTTGTAAAGGAACTAGTTCTTACAAAATCTGTAAATGAAACTCACAAGGTTCTGTTCAAAGGAACTTCTAACTTCTAACTTAGTATTTTTTGCAACTGCAATCAAAATAATAATTATACTAATATTAACCATAATTGATAAAAACTGAGACTCCTGTCTGCCAGGCACCCTGCTAAGTGCATTTGTATGACATTACTGAATTATCACAACTCCCTGTGGTACCGGGAACTTGACTCCGTGGAGCGGTACAGGTGGATGTGTTAATGACTTGCAGAGTGACAGGTCTTTCAGGCAATGGAGTGTATGACCTGACATTACCTCACCTCCTACGATACAAAATACAATAAATGTCTCATTAACTACCCTTTACAGGTTCACAGCAAGTCACAAGCAACCTTTTCCAAAATGCGTGTGCACAGGTCTAATAAAAAACGTACAGGGGCTGTCGGAGTGGCACAAGTGTAAGAGCACCTGCCTAGCAAGTGTGAGGCTTTTGATTTGAAACCCCAGTGCCACCAAAAAAGAAAATCCACATTCAACAAATGCACAGAGGGAGGAGATGGAGTTTCTCAGATGTCCACGTGCCTCATCCGGCCCAACACCCGAGGGCAGGCACTCATCCCAACATAAAGCTTTATATATAATTTGTACTGGCTCCCGGCTCTGTGCAGCTGAAGGACAGAATCGAGGTGGAAAGGCGGGGAGTTCTGGGTGTCCCAACGACTGGCTTATGTTGGACACATGGCCTTAGCAGTCATAGACACTAAGAAAGGGACTCGGTTACCACTGTGTTCCCAACACATTGCCAGAGACAAGCATACTGACAGCAGCAAGTGAGTAGAGAGCTACCCACTGGCTATTTGTAGTAGCACTTACCAGAAAATAAAGCCCTTAAGACGGCTTTGGCATACTAAGCAAGTACTCTACCACTGAGCTACGCTCTGACATCTACCTATCACGCACCCGGGACGGGGCAGTAATTTACAGAGATGAAGGTGGTTCATGACTAGCCCTGTGGCCATCCCCACTGGTCAGCACGACCCACTGTACTTCAATTTTCCAGTAAGGGAACTGCTTTGTCTTTGTAGTAGTGGTCAGGGCGCCACAGGGAAAGACTGCACCGAGCTGTCTTCACTTCCTGGGAGGCAGGAACTGTGCAGATGTCCAAACTCCCCAGCACAGGTACTCACTGAACCTCCACAGAACACCTGGTGTGGGCCAGCCCCAGGGAGTGGTCTGCCAGGCAAAGTCCAGACACTTTCAGCTCACCAGGATTAACATCCTGCCTGGGCTTCCTGCTTGCAACTTCAGTTGTGCGAAATACTTTAAGGGGAGCTGCCATTCCTTTTGCTCACAAGATTTAAGGTGGCAGTGCGTAAAATCCAAGCACAGCAACCAGAACCATTTCAATCAAACCACACCCTAAGTACCCTGTGGAAGACATGGACTGGTAAGACCGCTGATAGCTGCTTTATTTTTCGGTGTGTTTTGCCAAAAGGTGTTTCCCTTTGAGCTCTTGGGTTGTGGTTGTGACATCAGACCTGAAACAAAGTTTTTTTTGGAGATAGGGTCTTGCTGTGTAGCCCAAGCTGGCCTCAAACTCATTGTTCATTCTGAACCCCCCCAAGTGCCAGGATTACAGACGTGTTATGATATCTGGCAAGCTGATTGCTTTTAAAAAGCTGGTCCTCTCTGGAGACTGATGTAGGTGAGCGCCCTGGTAGCCAAGACACCTTTGTTGAGAGAGCTGCACCTGAAGCAATGACCCAGTAGTAGGAGAGAAAGGTTAGCAGATTGCAAGCAGCAACCCAAGAGCTCTGAAGGGCACCTGCTGCCTTTCTGACAAATTCATTTCTGGGTCCACAGCCCCACAGTGGGGCTCACAAAAATCCTCTTCCAGGTGGAGAGGAACCTCAAGGCTCACTCTAGTGTGCCAACCTGTAGAAGCCGCCCCATCTCTGCTCTCTCTCCTGTGAGGCCCCTCTGATAGACCACATTCACCGTAACAGCAGGTCAGAGTAAGATCAGGCTTGGATCCACCAGTCCCATTTCGGCCCTGGCCACCCGTGTGGTTCTAGGCAATGCAGTCCCCTCTCTTCTCTGTAGAGGGAGAATATCTGGGAAACACTCTTGTGAAGAGCCACATGAAGGATGGGTGCATTAATTCAGCCTTATTAAAGAGACGGGAGAAAGAAAAATGCAAAGGCGGTGGGGGGGGGGAACACAGCACCAGGCATGGTGGTGTATGCCAGTAATCCAGCACTCAGAAGGCTGAGGAAGGAGGATCGCGAGCTCTAGGCCAGCTTAGGCTACATAATGAAATTCTGTCTCAAAAAGCAACAAAAAACCCAAAACAGAAACAAAAGCAAAACCAAAAAGTGCTTCTAATTCAAGTTCACGTAAGGAAATTGAAACCTTGGCTTCAATGAGATGGGTCTGGTCTGTGAACTTCACTTCCTGTGCCATCCAGCTTTCTGTGAGCTTGAGCTTGTAAACAGCATTACTACCAACTCCAGTCACCACCCTCCCCTCCCCATTTGGTTCATGCAGTTTTGTTTCCGTTCTCACCTCTCTTCCCTTTAATTCTGCCAAGAATCCTTTTTATATCAGCGTAACTAATACACCTCTGTCACAAGTAACACTCTTGGTTAGGACTAACATCCCCCATCACATGAAGGGACGTGTGTTCTAGCCCTGGCTGTGCGCACGAGGTACATGGCCTAAGACAAGTGACACATCTAGGAGTGAGGTGTGTCGGGGCGGGAAGGCAGGAGTAGGAGAGGGAAAGGGCTGCAGTCCTCTTGTCAAAGGAGAAGGTCACCATTGTTCTACCTCTACCTCTATCCTGATTTGTCATCAGGATTAAGAATCCTTTGAGGTATCAGTTTGAAAAAGTATAAGCTTACACTGGCAAAGATTTCTTCATTGCTTGCAAAAGCTACATGAAATTCTGGATATAAAACGGTTACAGGATCGCTAAGAAGGAGAGAGTGATACAAGGTGTGTCACTCCTAAGGAGGTTCTAGAAATCATGCTGGGAGATCAGTTTCCACCGTGGCTCAGAAAGTTGTTCATTTTCAGGCCAGGCATGGTAGTGCACCTGTAATCTCAGCTACTCAGGAGGCAGAGGAAGGAGGATCAGGGTCCGAGGCCAGCCTGGGGGTGAAGTGTTGGGGGAAAGCACTAGACGCTATCTGAAAAACAACTAAAGCAAAAATGGTTGGTGGAGTGGCTCAAGTGGTAGAGTGCCTCTTAGCAAGCCGAAGGCCCTGTTAAATCCCCAGTACTGCCTTAAAAAAAAACAGAAGAAAGAAAAGTGTTCTTTTTGCCAGCCAGTGGTGCTTCCAATGTGTCTTCCTTTGCTACAACTCAGCAGAGAATTCAGAAGGGGCAGAGGGCTGGAAATGTCAGAGACGTCAAGTTCAAGAACTCAGCAGAGGGTAAGGGTCCTTAGACTAAGGACCAAGGCTCCACAGGTTAAAAAGTCAGAACTGGAGGAGGAGAAAATCTCCACTGGTGTCAACTGATACCCATCGTACTTGGAGCAAATCCATCAGCAAAGACTACAAATGAGACACCCAGGGCAGAAGACATGAGCCAGGAATAGTCCAGAACCTGGGGTGTGATTATAGGGCCTGGAACAACAGATCATAGACAACTGTTCACAAGTGTGTTAGTAGAGAGGAATTAGAAATTACTACATGATACAGTTGGTAGAAGAAATAACTTCTAGGCTCTATAGCACAGTAGGGGAACTATGGTTGACAAACTTTTCTTTTTCAGTCAGTACTGGATTTGAACTCAGGGCCTCCCACTGCCAGCCTTCACTGTACATTTCAAATTACCTAGTAGAGATGATTTTGGATGCTCTCAAATCACAGATGCCAAATGTTTGAGGTGATGGATATGTCAATGAGCTTGATCTGATCCATTACACATTGTGTACAGTACTGAAATAGTACAATGTACCCCATAAATATGTATAATTATATAAACAGAAGAAGTGACCTGCGTTGTACTAGGTGTTACTGGAAGCTATGGGTATTTACAATCAGTCTACAAGCAACAACTGAACTTCGTAGTTGTCAGGGTGAGTCATAACTTCATCTTTTAAGAGGTGCTGGATTAAAGAATGTTTAATGAAATGCTGACAAATGAGCAAACTCCACCTGGATTGACTCTTTCTGAAGAATGCAGTCCAGACTGGGTCAGAGTAAGCAAAAGCAAGTACAGCTTCTAACAGTGGCGATTCACAGCCTGGCTCTGATTCAGAGCCACTGGGGCATGTATGAAATGCCAACTCTAGAAGCCCAGCACACTTCCTGACTTGGAATGGTCAGGCCTCGGAGTCCAGGAGTTATCTGGAGTTGTTTGTGCGTTTTGCAGTACTGGGGTTTGAACTCAGGGCCTTCACCTTGAGCCACTCCACCAGCCTTTTTTTGTGATGGGTTTTTCAAGATAGGGTCTCAAGAACTATTTGCTGGGGCTGGCTTCGAATCACGAGCCTCCTGATCTCTGCCTCCTGAGTAGCTAGGATTACAGGAGAGAGCCACTGGCGCCCAGGGACAGGTAGCCTTTGATCTGGAGGAGCTCCATTCCAAGACAGAACATCCTGGCAGCCAAGGAATAAGGTAGTAATGAGGAGTACAGGAGACAGCCTTGCTCAGGGGCAGACTCTACAGAGGAGATGAGATAGAGAAACCATAGATCATGGATCCATCCATCCATCCGTTTTCTATCACTCAATCTCACAGTTGCAATAGAGAGGGCGGCACATGGTAAACCCTCAGTGCTGAGTGCTGCACGAGTCCACGATCAATATAAATCCCAATAGCTGAAGCAAGACTTCTACCTGGAAGGGTGGTGGCGTGGACACAGCAGGAATGACGGCGGCTGCAGCGGCGGCGGCGGCGGCAGCGGCGGGGTCTGGCTGCACGGCGATGGGGCTGAGCATGTGCTCCATTGCGTGGATTTTGCCGTCTTCAATCATCTTAGGGGCTGGGGCTGCCTGAAACATGGAATACTGTGCCCCGATGGCCGGGATGGCCACTGGAAGAGAAGCAAGGGGAAACAGGCTGGTCACTTTCAATCGCTAAGGGAGGTCCATAATTGCTCCAGGATATTTTAAAAAGCCAAGGTTTGGAATTTAATACTCTCTTAGTACAAGTCCCGGAAGGAGGTGCTGCCACGAGGAAGGGTGGGAGGGGGCAGTGCTTCTGCTTGTCATGTCAAAGGAGCCACGAGGGCTGCAGTCTCCCCACAGAGCATTGCCCAGGGAAAGCCTAGAGCCTGGTTTCTGCACCAACATCTTCTGCCTCTCCTAGAGCAAGACTTCCTTTGAGTTTTACCTGCGATCCAGCAAGATAGGGCCTCTGACCCTGAAGAAGTGGCCTCAGAAAAAGTGGCCCAGCAGGTGTGAGTGCTAGTCTGCCTGCCATTCTCGCTCACCATGCCCTTCACAGACCAACTGCCTTTTCCACTTAACCATGTTTTGCTTTAGTCAATTAATTAATTATTTTTTGCGGTGCTGGGGTTTGGGCTTAGGGCCTACACCTTGAGCCACTCCACCAGCCAGTTTTTTGTGATGGGTTTTTTCCAGATAGTGTCTCAGGAGCTATTTGCTCTGGCTGGCTTCGAACCCACGATCCTTCTGATCTCTGGCTCCTGAGTAGCTGGCGTTACAGGAGTGAGCCAAGAGTGTCCAGCTTCACTTATCATGTTTTAAGAAGGTGTTGGGAAGGTCTCATGCTGACAACTTGAAAGGTCTGTATACATCTTGCCCCTTTTCCTGCATTTCACATTTCAGTGGTACTAATTCAAGGAAAAGAACTAACAAAAAATGGAAAATTCTCTCCTTTCCCTCGCCTCCCCTCTCCTCCCCTCTCCTTCCCTCCCCTCCCCTCTCTTTCCCTCCCCTCCCCTTCCTGTCCCTTCTTTTTTAGTTAGGCTGTCAACCATGTAGCTCAAGATGGCCTGGAACTCACTACATGGGGCAGACTGGCCTCAAAATTCTCAATCATCCTGCCTCAGCCTTCTGAGTACTGGGATTATAGGCATGTGTTACCACGCCCAGCAAAATTCTCTAATTTTCTATCATCCACTCACAGCAGTGAAGCAGTGGTGTGACTAGTTTTTCGCTGGGACCTGCCAACTCAAATAATTTCTGTGGGGAAAGTCCAAAGGAGTGATTTCAAGCAGAGATTCAAACAGATAGAGTTATTGAATGTCAATGTACAATAAGAGGAGATCAAAAGGAAAAGAAACTAACCCAGATTTGGGGGAGTTTGTGTATGCACATGCTGTGTGTGTTCGAAGGTTAATCAAAAATGTGGAAGGGGCAGAGGGAAGAGGTGAGGGGGGTAGGGGGGAGAAATGGCCCAAACCATGTGTGCACATATGAATAAACAAATCAAAATGAGAAAGAATCTTCCATTTATGTTTTTTCTCCAACTGCAGGTGCATTTATTCTAATAAAAACTGACTTGATCAAAAGTAAAGACACATATGACCATTAGCTAAACAATGGTATGGTTAAGTCAATAAAAAATATATGTATTTTTTATTTTATTATTCATATGTGCATACAAGGCTTGGGTCATTTCTCCCCCCTGCCCCCACCCCCTCCCAAATAAAAAATATTAACCAAATATTTTATGTGCCTTTCCAACCAAATCTTCCACTGGTCTTATGCCTAGATACGTCACCACTGTCCTGGTGCCTCCCCTAAAATAAAACCTTCTAATTTTCTGGATGATCAGAAACAGAAGTCAAGGGGGATGTGGGGAGGTGCTGAGTGACTGTGTGTTGTGCTGGCTACAAGGCTACAGTCCCTAGGCATCTCGGCATCTGTACCTCAGGCAACAAGACTTCACATCGTGAGAGACTGCCTCACAGTCTTTCTCTAGTTAAACCTATAGTAACTTGCTTAACAGTTAACAGGAGTCCCTGTTAAGCAACAAGCAGTAGTGACGCCTTACGCAGGCTCTGTTTTAGGGAGTCACAGAGAGCGAGGGGCTTAGTTTTACACAGCTCACAATGCCAATGGCACTTACTAAGAAACTCTTAAAGTTACTTTAACTGTAGAGATGGCAGGATTTTTTTCAGACAAAATAAAAATCACTGATCATCACTGGATTCCTTCAAATGGAGGCTCTGCTTGGGCATATGCTTCGTAGTCCTGTGAGGCTAGTGTGAACCTAGGCCCCAAACACAGTCTGTCTTATCTAGGGGAATAAGTGCACAGTGTTCAATGCAATCAAATCATCGTAGACTTTTAACCCACCCCAGGTGAGGCAGGGAGGAGGAGAACTCCTTTTGTGTGAGGTTTGCACGCTGTGTGCTGATAGTGAGTTTGTGCTTGATTCACAGGATGGAGTTAGCATCAGAAACCCTGCCTCACCCTGGGTGACCAAGGACACTAACAACATTGGCAAACAGGTTTTGGCGGGGGGTGGGGGCGGGGGGGGATCTGGAGTTTCATGAAAGCAAAGTTCAAGGTCCTGGCTCCATTAACTTGAGGGTCCTCACTCTAAACTTATAGGAGGAAATTCATGCTGGAAATTAGAATCCAGGAAGCTAGCAGCTGCAAAAACTTTCACCCGGCTTTGTCCCCAAGCTCCTTGTTTGCTCAGAGTGTAGGGACAAATATGGTGCTATGTGCTCTTGAAGGGGAATTTCTGCTCTTCTCAAGGACTCTCAGAACTAGTAAAAAGCTGTACCCTCTGGCTTCTAATAGTTGGGGCAGGAATGGGGACACAGCTTAGTAGCAGAGTGCTTGCCTAGCATGCTTGAGGCCCTGGGTTTGATCCCTGGCACCACAGACACACACACACACACACACACACACACACACACACACACACAATGAACTCTTGACAGCTGGGACAGACATAGGCCTGAGTAAGGAGAAAAGATAGGTTTTAGCTGATAGGAAATACAAAAAGCCTCGAATTTGTTCATTCTTCCCTCACTTGACCTCTTCCTCTCTCACTTGGCCTAATGCTGAGTGACAACCATTTGAAAAACTTCCTGATGGTTTGACTGAAATATGGTCAGAGCTAGATAGATCTAAATTCCAGAAAAAGGTCCAGGAGATCCCTCCTCTCTGCCTGTGTCTGACTGCTGAGAGAAAAACTCAAGAGCACAGATATGTGAGCCAGGAAGGCTTAGATTCAACTTCAAAGAGAGGGCTGGGGTTTAGCTCAAATGATGCCTCCCTCCTCGGGTTGATACTGACCTGTACCAGGTTTAATGGCAACGGGGTTGACAGCGGAGATTTCCAAATTCGGCACGAGTTCATATCCTTTTTCTTGCTGCTTTCCTTTCCCCTCGTGATATCGGCTATATATCCCACGGCCAGCAGAATATCCGCCCAGGTAGGATCCCCTGGGTCCTGGAGCTCTGTTGCCAGCTGCACCTCGCCCTCGGCCTCTTATGCTGCCTGCTTATGGTAACAACACAAAAGCTGATGAGCAAAAAACAGCGATGGGACAGGAAACAGGCCCCAGCCCCTGGTTCTTGGGTGTTGAACTTGTCCTGTGACTGAGCATTCTGGGCTACACCTTTGGTCTTCAATGAGCTTCAAACACTATCTCTCAGCCTACACATGCACCCTCTGTCTGCTTTCTGCAAGAGAGACTAACTCACAGCGTGCGGTCCTAGGATTCTAACTGCAACTTCAGTGACCCAAAATATTCACAGTGTGAAAGTTAGACCTGAAAAAGGATCTGCTAGTCTACCTTCCTCATTTATGCTTTTGGAAACAGGCATAGAGACAGACCCAGCTAGTCATAGAGGAGTTCAGGTTCCAGAACCTAGGTGGATCTGCATCAGGCGTGGTTTCATTATATCCTAATCAAAAACTATAAATAACGCTATAAATCTTAAAGATTTAACTTCAGAAGGAGGTCTATACGTAAGTTCTAAGAAATGGACAGACCTGCTCTAAAGGAGTAGGAGGGAGAAGGCAGCCCCTTGGTTTGGCTGCTCACCCCGTATTTCTCTCCACGCTACAGGAAGGGACTGCCTTAAAGGTCAGCCAACTAAAGTCAAACAGGTGGGACTCAGCATTCACCAGCTCAATTACAGCCAAGTTCTCCCGCCAGGGAAAGTGTCCCCACTAACCTTTCACAAAGTAGTCCCTGTTGGGCCCTATGAGCGCATTGTAGGGGTAGCTGTAGTAGGCCAGCGCGTAGGGGTCGCAGGAGTACACGTAGCTGGGCTGCTGGGCCACGGCCTCCACCACGCCGCCGCCCTTGGCTGCCTTCTGGTAGCGAGAGTACTGCTCCTTGTCCACGGGCTTGGCCAGCGTGACCTCGAGGCACGAGCCCTCCAGCTCGGTGCCGTTGAGGTTGTTCATGGCGTGCACCGCGTCCTCGCGGCTGGCGAAGTGCACGAAGGCGTAGTCACGGATCTTCTTGACGCGCTCCACGCAGCCGGGGTTGAACTGGCCGAAGCTCTTCTTGATGGTGTCCTCGGTGGTCTCGATCATGAGGTTCCGCACGTACAGGATCTTCACGGTCTCCATCACGTCCTCGTCCACATCAATCTCAGGCTCGGCCCAGTCCACGGCGATCTGGTGGCCCCACAGCTGGATGCGGCCGGGCATGAGCTTGCGGCGCGCCATGGCCGCAGCGCGGTGGCTCTCGTATTCCACGAAGGCGAAGCCGCGGTTCTTCAGCTTGTCGGCTGCGCTGGCATAGACGATCACATCAAGCACGCCCTCGGTCACCTTGGCGATCTCCTCCAGGATCTCCTCGCGCTTCTTGGTCTTGGGGATGCCCCCGATAAAGAGGCGACAGTTGTCCACGCTGCAGCACACACCCAGCAGGCGACCTGGGCGGATCTCGTAGTTGTTGAGCTCGCGCACGGCGCGCTTGGCCTCGTGCTTGTGGCAGTACATGACGAAGGCGTAGCCGCGGTTCTTGCCATCGAAGTCCATCATGAGGCGCAGCTCGTAGATGCGGCCCACGGCTTCGAACACGGGCACCAGCTCGTCCTCGTACACGTCCCGCGGGATCTTGCCCACGAAGACCTCGCAGCCGCGCTGGGGATGCGCGCCCTCCCAGCCGGGCGGCGGGCCACCATACTTGCGCTGCCCGTTCTCCTGCACCATGCTGTAGCCTGTGCGCTCCATCAGCGCCAGCAGCGCGGCCTCATTGGGCGCGCCCGCCACGCCCTCGGGGACCTTGGCTGAGGACGTGGCGGCTGGGTCGCTGTTCATGGCTGCGGTGGAATCCTCTGCAGTCATACTGTCAAAGGCATCCACGGCTGGCGGAAAACCTAGGAAGGAGAAAGGAACGTGAGTGGGGAACCCTGCACAGACTGCGACTTGAACTTGACTGCTTTGGAAGCTAGGAATAGAACAGAAAGGTAGTGAGATGAGAAATTAGATGGAGGGAGGCCCTTCTGGAAATGCAGCAGCCCTAATGTGGTCACGTTGTGCAGGAAAAAACCAGAAGTGACTCGGAAGAGAAAAAAAAAATATACCAGAATAAACCAGTACTTCCGTTTAATCAGTTCCCCAACCTTGATGAAGCTTAGAGAACCTGCTGCCACTGTTGGTGAAGATTTTACCTTCTTGCAGCAAACAGCAACATCTTTGTTTAATTCCTGCACTGTCAACTCAGATTGGTTCCCTTTAACTACATTTTACAAAACCTCATTTTACGACTTTCGTATTACAGGGCCTTTTCATCTTTTTTAAGGGCAATCTTTTTCATTGTGGGAATGGAAATAGAGCAATATAAAGAAAGCTTTGAGCCAGGCATAGATGTACAAGCCTATAATCCCAATGCTCAGGAGGTTGAGGAAGGAGGATATCAAGTTGGAGGCCAGCCTGGGCAACACAGCCAGACTGTCTCAAAATAAAGACAAGGATGTGAGGGCGATCTGGCTGCGACATCTGTCACCCCATTGATCGCCAGGGTTGATTCGGCTGATCTGGCTGGCTAGGTGGGTGTCCCCTTCCTCCCTCACCGCTCCATGTGCGTCCCTCCCCAAGCTGCGCGCTCGGTGGAAGACGACGACCATCCCTGATAGAGGAGGACCGTTCTTGGGTCAAGGGTATAGGAGTAGCTGCGCTCCCCTGCTAGAACCTCCAAACAAGCTCTCAAAATAAAGACAAGAACAAAAACTCCGAGGAGATATTGTAAGTTGGATGCACAGCTGTGTGCTAAGGCTTTTGGCAAGGAAAAAAATGGACTGTCCACATTGCCATGACTTTGTCCTAAGAACTGCAGCAAGTCAGATTTTTATGATGTTGTTAAGGCAAAAAAAATTTGGATTTGGAATGAGTCTACAAAGAGCTAGGTTAACTTTAAGCTGAGAGACTTGGAAAGCAAAACACACCACCGTTTTCAAAGGACTGTCATCTGCAGTCTCTTAATTCATCTTCTTAATCTTCTACATGGCAAATGACATTAGTTTCAATTTGCCCAGGGGGAAATAGACTCAGAAGTTGATTAATTGTCTCATTTCACACAGCAAATTTCAGCTCATGGGAGGACTTGGTCTGAAGTCTTATGGCTCTAAATTCTGTATTCTTTATTCAAAAGTGTGCTATAGAGACCCCCATCTGAACAATATCTTGGTGGTACATGCCTATAATCTCAGCTACATAGGAAGATGCCAGTCAGAGGCTGGCTCCAGGCAAAAAGTACAAGACCCTATCCAAGAAATAAAGCATAAAGGAGCTTGACATGTGGCTTGAGTGGTATAGCAATTACCTAGGGAAGCAAGGGGCCCTGAGTTCAAACCCCATTACTGCCTTCCCTCCTGCCAAAAAAGTCTAATGAAGAATCCAAATGCAAAAAAAAAAAAACCCCATGAAAGTAGAAAAGGGACTATTTCGGGGAGGGGCAGGGAATTAGTGGGAGGTCACTACAAGAGAGCATAGTGGGAGGTGAATGTGATCAAAGTAGATTATATACATGTAAGACTAGATCATGATGAAATTCATTTAAAAAGTGCAAAAAAATTAGGGTAAGATAGTCTCTTTAGAAAAGCCAATGTGTAGATATGTGTGATGGGGGGAAGGGGAGGGACAAGTCAGACGATTTGTGAGAAACACTGTATGCTGATAGATGGTAGATTTTTTTTTTGATGATGGTAGATTCTTGCTTGAGGTAGACTTCAGGAGCTGAACCTTTACCATAGGTAAAATGAAGATACCTAGATAAATAGCACAGAATTCCCAGTTTCATCGATTAGCGTGGGAGGCTTTAGGTGGGCTGGGCTGTCTGACTCAGGTTTCACAGCAGGCGGAATCAATGCATTCTCTAGAACCATAGTGTCCCAGCTCCAAACCTAGGCTTCCCCACTTAACCAGCTGTGAACTTGAGGAAAACCACGGAACCTCTTTCCATTTCAATTTTCCCATCTTTAAAATGGTGGACAACAATAGTGTTAATTAAATACCACTGAGTGTCAGACCCCCCAGAGTGCTATGCCCTTCTCAGATCCTCACGATGTCGATATGGGATATTATTAGGATCTCTACTTTACAGATAAGGAAACTGAGGCACAGAGCGATTAAGAGGACTCACCGTTCATGAGCGTTAGGGCTGATGCTGGGATGCCAGGTGACACCGCAGCTGCCCCCAATGGTTCTCCTTCCAGAGCGGGAGTGAGGATTAAATGAAATGATATATGTAGAGCTCATAATGCAGAGCCTCATACTAATGGCCAAGGAATTCGAGCATGAGAAATTTGAACTTACAAAGAAAACAACAAAGACACTGAACTTGAGGCAAGAAACTTCCGCTGTGTAGGATTCTTGTGTTTACAGGAAAACCCCAGCCAATTTGAAACCAGCTGGCGTGAGAAGCAGAGCCTGAGCATTCTGGTGCAGACTGGGGCGTCTGACTCCATTCCAGATTTGGTTCTTTGCAGGTGAGATGACCAGGGTCGTCCTCCACTGGTGCTGTGGCTCAGGCACTCTGGTGTAAGCCTACTTCTCACCTAGCCCTTGGCTATGGTGCTACGCAGGGCTGTTTCAGAAAGAACTTGAGGACATTTGTCGCAGAAGGTCCCCTGAGACAAAGGACCACATACCCACCTTGTACCTCCCTGAGGCCAGCTAGCGTTAAATAAACATGGCAGTGCTTTTGAAGCAAATCAGCCACTCGGTTTAACATATAAAACCAGCAGAGAAAAATACACGTTGAAATTAAGCTATTATTTTTGTAGACCATGAAGGAGAAATTTGTTCAGCTTGCTTTAGGTCACGCTTGCATTTGTTGGGTTAAAATTTCTTTCAGAGTAAACTCAGAGTTAAAGCAGAACACTCATCCAGGATTTCAACTCCCTTTTCAGTATGTTTCAGAGTGTTTTTTATTGGAATTTTAACTAAACTGAGAGGCTTTGGAGGGCAAAGGACACACACCACTGTACTTGGAAATAGTTCTAACATTCACAAACCAGTTTTTACTTACAATGGGAAACAGGCAGGAGCTTAGTTTAGATTTACTCAGACTACCTGTGAACTTTGGTTCACAGCTTTGTGCGTGTGTGCTGGGGATGGACATGGAATTTGGAATTATTTGGAGAATTATTTGCTGACCTACTGATCTATTGCAACTTGAAGATATATTCAGTGGGTTCAGTGTCTTCCACCACTACCGGGAATTTAATGCAGTGCAAGGTTTTAGACCTTGTTTATCTCTGTTTATGATCAGATTTCTATTTTGATGTTCCTTACTAATACCATATGATTTTTTTCTTTACTTATTGTCACTTATTAAGCAAGACCTCATACATATGATGTACAGACACAATAAAACACACACCATACTCTTGTTAAGTGCACAGACTTTGGAGTCCAAGAAATATGAGTTCAGATCATATTGTGCCATGTCCCATGAAGCAAATTACCTCAGTTTCATTTCTACATTCATCTCTAAGGTGCTTCTAGTTACAGCATGCATTTCAAAGGACTGGTTCAGGATTAAATGATATTTGGCACATAATGTACTTTAAAAATTAGCAATTGCTATTGTTATTATTTTAGAGAATTTCATTGAAAAAAAGGCCAGAATTCAAATTTTATAGAGGTGTTAGCCACAAAAGTGGAAACATGGTTTACAGAAATATTCTGTGAAGGAAAATGTTGCCACAACTCGGAGAAAATAAGTGAAAAAAAAAGATCCACTTCTGCACAAAGTTCCCAGATGCGGCCTTACCCTACACTTTTATCTTTTCGCCCACTGCCAAGTCAGCACCACCCACTAGAGTAAACATCAGAGAAAACCCTCCCACTGGCAGGACTTTGGCACTGGGACATTTCTATTAGCTCAAAGTTGGAAGGTGTAAAAGGAGCTCCACTCAAAATGGAGGCAGAGGAGTTGAAATTTACCTGTAGGCTGAAACAATAAGCCACAACCGAAGCAGACTCTTTTTCTCTCTAGCCTTTTGCTAGTTGAAAAGTGTGACCCTTGGGACACAAAAATCTTTCCATGACCCTTTATTTAGGCAAAATCCTGAATGGATGAAAAGACAGAGAACATGACATTTTGTAGTCATTACCTTCTGACTGCCTGTAGCTGAGCAGAGGAAGAGTTCATCCATGTTCACAGTGGGGTTTTTTATTTTGGGTGGTACTGGGGTTGAACTCAGGGCCTCATGGTTGCTGGGCAGGAGCCCTACCACTGGAGCCATGCCTCTGTCCCCACAATGGGTTTTACTGGTGTTGATGCTTATACAGATTTTGTTTTGACAAAGCACATTATACAGTGACTGATGGTGTTTGATAAACAGATGCGAAGCCAGAAGGCTCAAATTTTCCAGGCGCTCTTATCAGCACATCCCTGAAAATGAGGATTTTGCTATGGGTTCCCACAAGAGGGGTGAAGACACCTGCCAAGAGGTGGGGGAGGGGATTTTCTGAGTGTTTGGCCACACCCAAATACCTGCCAGGAATCTGCTCTCTTGTTCCCTTTACATGACAGCATCGCACACTTACATTTTTTTTCTCAATAGGTTAATGGGTATTGCTGAATTAAAAATCGAAACCTATTCAGCATATGTAGGCCTCCTAGGCCAACGTGCTCCAGGGCTGCAAGCAAACAGAGGAGGGATGTCCCTCCTTACCTTGGCTTTGTGGACCTAAGCCTTCGAGGGACCTGGCAAGGAACAGAAAGACATAAGATAGCCAGGTGCCACCAAGGACAAGAAGCAGCAGCAATGGTTTCTATCTAGCTTGAACTGACATGGTGGTTTGCATTTTATACAATTCTTTCATACACATAAATCTCATTTTGTAAAACCCCAGCAAAGGACCCGAG